TGGCTATGCCTGCATGAGCAGGCAGCCCAGCCCTCTCAATGGATTTGTTTCACCGAACAGCTGGTACTGGAGTCCCAGTAACATTTCAGATACTTTTTCTTCACAGCAGCTCTAGTATTGTCCCACCAACTGGATTTCCATCAACCGTTGGGTGCAGGAGGTAAGCCTCTGCAGCTCATCTCACCAGTCCATCACCAAAATCCATTCTATTTCACATACTCAGATGGCTCCACCATGCAAAGCAGGAAAGAATTAGCAGAGCCAATTAGATCAGCAATGTGCTTTTGAAGGAAATGTTCCAAACCAAAGTGCTACTTTATGTGCTTTCAGAACTCCTACAAAAGTACGCTCTTGAGACCAAGATCACTCTAGGGAAAGTGATATTTGCAAGCTAGAGCTAGGTTCCTCATGATGGAAAGAAGAGCTTGCTGAAGTGGCATCGTTTATTTGTAACTGAAAATTCAAAAAGCCGGGAAGCAGAGCAGCTTTCTGCTTCTATCATATAAAAAAAATACCAACTGGTTGAAGCTGGAAGTATTCTACTTCATCTGGCTTACTAGAAGGCCTCAACTTAAAATAAATTTGCATGGAAAAGCTTAGTCTTGAAAACAACATATGAGTTTAAGCTAAGTAGTTGCTAACAATACTGTGGTATTGTTCCTAGGTAGGCAGAAAATGCCACCTCACTCTATTCCAGAAAGAATCCTACTCTCCAGCCATCACAGCAGTCAGGTTTTTTTTAAAGCCTGACAAAGTAATTCATTAAGCCCAGACAGTCCCTTCTGACCTTTGCTCTCCTCTCAGCAGGATAATCTGACTGCCAGGACCTACCTGCCAAGGCTTCGTGTGAGCTCAGGTGCTTCCTGGAGACCAGGGAGCAGAGAATGAAGCACTTGGGGGTTAAACCTCCGTTACTCCAATGAGCGCCAGCCACTCGTCAGTAATTCTTTAGCACTGAGATTCCAGGTCAAGTAACTCGCTTCTGTCAAAGCGATTAAGAGTCAGTTCACCAGTCAAGTTGTAAAGGACTGTCAGTTGCAAGTGTTTATTGCTTACTTAATACATTACATAAGTTAAAACACTTAAGTTCCTACTAGAGTGTAGGTAACCACACTTCCTAGTATTCTTCAACAGCCCTAAGCAGTCGGTACAAAGATGCATCCCATAGCCCCACTCAAAGCAGCGCAAACTCAAGTCCAGGGTCCAGATTTACCTGGACAAGCAGCCACCTGGAACGCTGCGAGCCTACCTTGCCCATCCTCAGAACGCGTTGGAAGTTGATGTCTCAGGTTGCCTAAAGGGGATGGCAGAGAGCTGCTGCTCACACAGACTAACCAGGTCTGATACGGGACTTGGCGAGCTCTGCACTTGAGAAGGTCTCCTACAGAAGAAGGGGTAAAGTTTAGGGGCTCTGTGATTAATCTAAGCAGGTTTGCCATTCCGTAAGCAGCTTCCAAAATCCCATTAATGGTATCCCCACCACTGATGAACAATTTGATCTTCGTGTTCAGTCACTAGGGTCCTATTACCGCATTCTTCCCAACGTCTGACCTTCCCATTCTCCACCAAGATAAATTTCCACTCTACTTTGGTGTCTACAGGCAGGATAATGGATTCAGACCAGAAGCCATCCTTGTCGTACTTGAGGGGAACATAGCTGTGCCACTCCCCAAGACACTCATGGTCACCAGTAACACCAATCAGCTGGGCATCAGAGTGCGTGATGTAGTGTACGCGGAAAGTCACGTGGATGTTTTGAAACATGGGGGGCACGGCTGCGACTCTCTTGGCTTTCAAGTCCCCATCAGGGCAGTCTCCTTGTTCCCATTCCTTGCTGTCGGGGTCTTCCACGCTGCCGTTCTTGCCAGCCTCCCCCCAGGCCAGCTGCTCCGAAACAACTTCCCACTCTTCATGGTCCAAGTCAGCTGGCTGACCCGGCTGCTCCTCACTTCTGTCCTTCCAAGCATCATCGGAGGCTCCTGCCAAGTTCATCACGCACCATCCATCCCCTGCCTGTCCCATCTGGGGTCTCCGTTCTCCTGCCTGGCTGCCGTGGACATCAGCAGGATGCTCCCTGGAGTCGGTGGCACCCTGCTTCGGGAGCAGCTGCTCCATCTCCAGAGGTTCGCCTGAAACTCCACCGCTTTGAACATGGTTAAGCTCCTTCCTTGGTACAGCCGCCAGATCCTCCGCTGGCTTCTGAGGGCCGGCCAGGGCAGCAGCCTTG